GCCAATAAAAATTGTAATAAATTTAAATAAATTGTATTCTAGTCGCGATACATATCAAGATCAATGAAAGAATAAAGGATAGTAAATAAGGTTTTGTGAATAATGAGGATACTGTCTGGAAAGTTTTCAATAAAATGAATCAATTGGAGTGTTTAAATATGCTTTTTCTGGATAAGTTTTAATTGAAAACTAAAAGTAGGGTTAGAAGATCTTATTAACATCAAAGTTCCTAGAGATTATTCCTTTCTGACGTTTAAACAACAGTGTAGCCAAAACTATTTTTAAGAAGCAGGGGTAAGGGGATAATTGATAAATTGATACTTAAAAACTTTTTTAAGAAAGCAAGACCAAAAGGCACAAGTCGGTTAATTGATCAGAAATCCGGAACCAAGCCGGTATGTCTCTGGAATGGTGCTGAATTCAAATCAAAACCAACACCATGTCAGAGTCATGCTAGCTTGGCACTGGATTTTTTTCAATTAACCGACTTTTGAAATCCCCCTATCCCTCCCCTGTTGATTTAGAAAATTCAAAAACATCTCTGATTCCTTCAAATTCTGTTCTGTCAAAAGTCGTTAAGGGCCGTTCATTTATGATGTCCAAAATTAACGGTCATACTTCATAAAATAACAATGAATTTCCAGGAATTTCTATGTTTTTTTTCTTGCTGACCCCCCTCCCCGCCCCCCCCCCCCCCCCTCCTATGGACGTCATTAGTGAACGGCCCCTTACAAATGATGTCGTTAAGCGAACGACAGAATTATATAAAATCAACAGTTAATTTCAAGAGTTTAAAGTAAAATAGTAATTCTTTTAGTGCTATATTAAATTTACAATGTACATGCATATTTCATGCATATTTATAAGTAATTATTGATAGCAAAAGGAATCTTTAAGTAATATATACACATTTGTAACGATCATTTACGATTAGAAGTTTCGCATCTTTTTTGAGCTTGAGAAATACCAAGCAATTGGAAGTAAAAAGTTCTTTCCCTTCGTATCGTGATCGAGTTAACACGTCTTGTTACAAATTTTTCTAAAACCTCCCTTATGGTTTAATTAGTGGAACCCAATAAAGTGAAATAAGTGTTAAAAGAAAATTATCGATTTGTTACTCAATCACATCTTTTAGAAAAATTTACAAATTTGAGAAAAATTTAGTGCTTAACCTTAATTTGAGAAATTAAAAGAAAGCTAATGCTTTAGAGCTTTGAATTGGCTATTAATTAGTTATTTTAGTGCTGTAACTGTTGAATAAGTGGAAATTGATTAAGTTTGAATAAAACACGTGGAAGTCTCGCGTATTTAGTCTCGCAAAAGTCACGCGATATAATTTCGGCATCAAAAAGTTAATCTTTTCTACTTTGACGTCATATTGAGCATTATTCGACATCCAGAAGCATAATAGAGCACATTATATTGAATAAGTTGGCCAGAAATCAACATCCAGTAACCTCTGTAGTAAGTACAATAGAATAGTTAACCATTTTGTTTGTTTTTCTCTTCCTCGTGCATTCATATTGATTTGTTGTCAAGTAACAAATCAATCAAGTTCAAGGCTACAGAGGCAATCAATTTCTGGTCAGCAAGCCAATCAAGAGGCACATTTCAAGCCAATCAAGTGGCAAAATTTGCATCGAATTTACTCAAATTTATAGTCACCAAACAAGAGGTGACTTACCGCCATACAACAGGCACCAAACAATCAGTTTGGACATCAAGGAAGTCGTCTAGCAAAAGACGCATCGTCAGTCACTTGTGAGATAAGTGCATCAGCTAGGCATCGAAAGGGTGCAACAAGTTAAGTCGTCAAGCAAAGGACGCATCAGTTAGTCACTACAAGAGTGCAACATTCAAGTCGTCAGAAGAAAGGCGCATCAAATAGTCATCAAGAAGGTGAAACATTAGAAGTCACTATATCAAGTGCAACAATTAGTCACTTAAGATAAAAGTGCATCAATTCAAGTAGAAGGGAAGCATTTGAGGACGGCAATAAGTTAATTGTATCTTCATCTTATCATTTATTGCTAACAAGTAGCAAATAGTCATCAAGTCGTTTGTGAAACGCAACACAAATTTGCAAAAGTGAACAAGTCACTTTAAGATTATATAAGTTACATTAAATAGACATCAGGACATCAAGCATCATGACAAGTGCTGAAGAACTCGGAAGTTTAGCTCAACATTTTATCAGTGTTCCTGATGCTAAGGCACAGTATCGTGCAAAATATGCGACGAGCAAAGTCGTAAACAATTATATTTTCTGCATTCAATTAATGAGAGAAAATGCTAGATGCGGTTTAGATAATGACTGCAAATGGTTCGCGGTCCAGCAATCTGAACGTGAATATGAGGATTTACAAAAGATGGTGCTATGTATAACGTGTGATAATGTTTATCACTTACGCTGTTCCGGAACTGATTTTGCTGCTGTAACTGAACAACAACTTCCATGGATGTGTGCGAAATGTTTGAGGAATCCCATGAATGCTGACGCACAAGGCTTAGTCAGCGCAGAAACTCATACATTGTCATTTGATGAGAGAATCAAATACTATATCAAAGTCAATGTACGTAAAGGAGAGTCATCAGATTCAAGTGCTGATGAATATGTTGAAGGGACTGTACATATTAATGCTAATGGTAGCGTAGTATCAAACAATCTGAGGACCGATGTAAGCAAGTTACAAAGGAAATATAAGTCCATTAAGAAGTCCAACAAGGAATTAAGGAATCTGGTAGTAGCGCAGTCAGATCAACTTACTCAAATAATGGAATTACTAAAGTCATCACAAAATGCAGGTTTGCTTGGAACAAGTCCAAGTAGAATCGCACAAGGTACAGCAGAGTCATTAAGGCCACAATATGCATCATTCACAAATGCGGTGTTAAATGCAAATATAGCATCTACGCGCATTGATGATGAAATTAAAAGATCAAGTCAAGTAATTAAGGAAATGATTGGAGAATCAACTAGCAACGAAGCAATTCAGAAACCTTCATCACATCCACCGGAAATAAGTGACAATGAGAGTCACATTGAAATAACTTTGAGGCAGCTCAACAAGCTGTCGTTGAATGAAATTCGTCGTAACTTACCAAAGATTGAAAAGTTTGATGGTAATCCTGAAAGATGGTTGACGTTTGAAAGAGCAGTTATGAGGAACTGGAAAGAAGGAGAATATACTGATGACCAAATAAAGTCTCACATCAGACAAGCATTAACGGGACAAGCCCTAGCACGTGTTGATAGTTTATATCTGAATATGTCATCACAGAGACTTATGAATTATTTGAAGGATAGTTTTGGGAACGCATCGATTGTTGTAGAAAGTGCTCGCTTAAAGTTGATGAGTGCTAAATTATCCAAACCCTTAACTCATGCATCATGTGTTGAAGTAACAACAAGAATAGCAAACTTTATGGCAGCATGCAGTTATGCTGGAATAACAATAGCAGACACAAGCATTTCATCAAAACTTCACATGCAGCTTGAACCGTATCATCAAGAGTTATATTACAAATTCTTTTATGAAAAGAATCCAAAGGCCATTACAAGAATGGAACGATTGGACGTTCAGTTTGAGTTTTTGAACAGTCTTTCGAAAACACTTCCGTTAGGACAGTTCAAATTTGAGGATGATAAAGGAAGCAAGAATAAAGAGAAGGATTATCAAATGATGACAGCATCATGCAGCAACAACACATTCAAAGGTTCGTCATATAATTCAGATGACTACAAATATGAAATCAAAGATAATCAGACAGCAACATACTTAGGATACAACTTAGAGGAAGTGAGGCAAATTCCAAAGAAGTGTGAAATCTGCTCACATACCAATCATTACACTGTAGAGTGCAAGACTTATCGTGAAATGAAAATGGATGAAAGGTATAACACCGTTAGGACAAAACATTTATGCATAAACTGCTTATTATCAACGCAGCATTTTGCAAAGGATTGTGATGTCAAACGAAGTTGTGGATTTAAAGTAGATAAATCTACAAGATGTTCAGCAAAACATCATATTACTCTTCATCGTGGTAAGAGTGAATACAATTACGGCAAACCGAAGAAGAAGCCGAAACAAAGCAGCGATTCGTCTTCAAGTTCATCGTCATCAGATGAAGAGAACAGTTCAGTAACCAACAAGGAGGTACAACTAGACGAAGATGAAATACTTTCAAAGCCACAGGACAAGTGATCTTCTGGGGCGCGCGAGGATGTCGTTAAGCGAACGACAGAATTATATAAAATCAACAGTTAATTTCAAGAGTTTAAAGTAAAATAGTAATTCTTTTAGTGCTATATTAAATTTACAATGTACATGCATATTTCATGCATATTTATAAGTAATTATTGATAGCAAAAGGAATCTTTAAGTAATATATACACATTTGTAACGATCATTTACGATTAGAAGTTTCGCATCTTTTTTGAGCTTGAGAAATACCAAGCAATTGGAAGTAAAAAGTTCTTTCCCTTCGTATCGTGATCGAGTTAACACGTCTTGTTACAAATTTTTCTAAAACCTCCCTTATGGTTTAATTAGTGGAACCCAATAAAGTGAAATAAGTGTTAAAAGAAAATTATCGATTTGTTACTCAATCACAAAATGATGTCCATCAAAAAATAATCCCTCTAGTCTCAAAATTTCCAAGCATTTATTAAAATTCTGTAAAGAGTATGACACACAGAACCTTAGGCCAATCCCTAAGAGTTAGACATCATTGATTAACGACCTCTACTCAGGTTCTTTAATAATCTACAATTTTTCCCTTTGCAATTTATTCTTATTATTTATAAACATTGCTATCTTTAAATGAGCTCATTATTCTTAGAACTCTGTCATGTCAATTTTGTAAGTACGACTTTTTCTTACGTAAAATAAACTTCAGGTGCATATCAAGTACAAAAATAAAAACGATACCTTAATAATAAATTGTACCCTATAAAGATACAATCAATACAATGTAGATATTGAACCTTCCATTAGCGACATCAATTTAATTGTTTATTGTTCATACAACGAGTAGCAATATCAGTTATTTTTGAGATTTACAGGCGTTCGTTTGTCGAAGAAAATTGAAGAAAAAAAAAACCATTTAAAAAGAGAATGAGGTTTGTAAATGAAATTATGGATTATTGTTGATTAACATACATTCCCAAATTTTTTAGGTTTAAAATCATCTTCTTTGTACTCAGCATACTTTTGAATCATTCTCAATCCGACAATCCATTGCAATGCTCACAAGAAGACTTCAATTTAAGCAACTATCCTGAATGTCTGTCAGAAAGCTCATGTATCCTAAGGAATTTAAATACCAGCAATGTTTATGCCATTGACCGTGCTATTCATGAGTTCAAGTGTCTGATATTCGTCGATTCATTTGTTCCGGAAATCCCAAGCAATATTTTCATGACGCTGAAAAGTAACATAAGCCATTTGTATGCAAATAACGTGAGCATCAACGAACTCCGTAGAATATCATTTCCATTTGCACAAAAATTAAAGTGTGTCGATTTATCGCAGAACTTAATACAAAATTTAAATGAAATGATTTTTTATGACGCTCCAAATTTAGTGAGTTTGAACTTATCGCACAATTCAATCGGTGAGTTTTCATCAAATGTGTTTGATAAGTTGGACAGTTTACAGGTTCTCGACATGAGCTATAATCAAATTACAACAATTCCGTTTGACTTGTTTTTGCCATTGAACAATCTTGTTGAATTAAATTTAAGATACAATCGTCTCCAACTTAAATTTGGCATTTTTCCGGAAAATTTACATTCGCTTGATTTATCTTACAACAATTTGGAAATTCAACAGAAATTTAAAATATTCTCATTGCTTCAAAATTTAACAATGTTATTGCTGCACGGCAACAGAATTGAAAGTATGCATCAAAGCATTTACAATTCGCAATTACGTTTTTTGGGATTGTCGGAAAATCTCTTTTCATGCAATATTCTTGCAGACATCATATTAGCTATGAAAGTTCATAAGATAGTTCCATTAGTTGAGAATTCTGTTAAACATACGTCTAACATTTATGGAATTAAATGCATTGAATGAATATAGTCGAGAAAATAAATTGAAATTTAAGCTGAATATTTTTGTATGTCATGTACTGTGAAATAAATAAATTGAAAAATAAGAAGAAAAAAATTCATATTTTTAAATGTTGCAGGTATTTAGCTTTAGTTTATGCTACTTGCTTTTTTTCTTTTATTTCTCTTCGCTTTCATGTTACAACTTTTGCTGGAATATATTCAGTTTGTGATGATAATAGTGACATCTATTGACTATACTAGCTACTTTTTTAATTTTAAAAATTCGAAAATTGAAAATTCGTTAAATAAAGATGCAGCGCGTAATTTTTTGGACATTTTCTCATTAATTTTTGGGAATGCGGAACTGATAAATCAATTTTTGATAATTTTAGTTCATTTTTTCATCATTTTTGATCAGTTTCACAATCTTGATTAGTTTCACACCCCTGAATAGTTTCACACCCTTGATTAGTTTCACACTCTTGGTTAGTTTAATTTGATTAGTTTCACACCCTTGATTAGTTTCATGCCTCTGATTGGTTTCACACCCTTGATTAATTTCACACCCTTGATTGGTTTCACACCCTTGATTAGTTTCACACTCTTGATTAAATTCATACCCTTGATTAGTTTCACACCCTTGATTAATTTCACGCTCCTGATTAATTTTACACCCTTAATTATGTTTTTAAATTTGTGACAGGTTAAAAAATGATCAAAACTATCTAAACGTACTTAGCTTTCAAAACAATATTTTGAGCTTAATTGAAAGTAACTGTATTCTTCATTGTTCCATTTAATTACCAAATAATATAGATTCTTATTAAAAACTAATTCGTCCTTATTTTCTGTACCGAATTTATCAAAAGTACATAACATCAAGATTTCCGAATACCGAAAATTTGGACGAAATTTAAACTTTTAATTAGCATAAGATGCCATTATGGAACTTTGTAAAGAATATTTAATTATGTTAAGAGCTTCTTGTTCAGCAAGTTTGTCTATGTTAATTAAAACAGCCATTACCTTTAAAAAGTAAAGATTTATTCCTTAACGAAGTCAGTTAAATTAATGACTTATCAACAAGCGAGTGACTTTACGATAAATAAATTTTTGACGCTCACGTGTAACTTCTACACAATTAAGTCAAGAAACAGATTTAAATTTTCTTTGAAAACGTGTTTATTGAGTTTCATCGTTGACGTATTTTTGTCATTAAAGAAAAGCCATTCAAACTTGTGAAAATAAAAAATTGTATAACGAAATTTTACTTTTTATTAATTTTAAATTTTGGAAAAATAATACAGTTCGCAAAATCGTTGTCAGTTATGAATATTAATTGGATGCAAATTCATTTCTAAACTCAGTTGACTTGCTCAATCTTTGGTTGTGAATCTTGTGATTGAGAGTTTTCAACACGTGATGGTCCAACGTGAGTAATTGGCACAGATCTTTCTTGATTTACTGGTTGAGCATCTGGTGTGGCAGCATTAATGGTTAAAATGCCATCTGATGAAAGTGTTGATGACACAGTCTCGGGTTTGTAATTTGGTGGAAGGAGATATTTTCGTGTGAAGTGCCTTGAGACGTAGCCGTGCTCGTCTTGCTTCTCTTCGTGCTTACCTAGAAATGAAAAAGGTTTTTTAATGAGTTTGTAAATATTTTAATTTGAAAACATTTAAGTATGTTTGGTTTGGCCTCAATTGAGTGAATTGATCTGATCTTTAATAGAAATTGGATCCAATTTGACTAAATTTTAAACATTGTTCAAAGTGTTTATGATCTTTTGAATAGATTTTCACACATTACTTTCAAATCTGTCTCAAATACTAAAGCTAGTTCCAAAGAATTTCTAATTGTTTAATTCAAACCAGTATTGCGATACAGGCACCTGTGCATAGGTGGATCCGTACAATTTCTTGATTTAAACAATGATTTAATCTGACAGCACATGACTTATTCTACAGACATCATTCGTATGCAGATCTAAATTCATATAATTCACAATTATCTGATACTTTGTCCTATTTTCATTCACATCAAGTCATTTTCATACTTGATTCACTTGCTACACATTTTAACTTTATTTTCTAGTCCATTCTATTTTTTCCATGAAATTTAAGCTTAAACACAAGCTTCATATTTTAAAATTCATTGAATTCATTGAGTCCACTTACCCTCAACGATGACAAACTTGTCTGAAGTTCTAACAGTAATTTCTTCAGGTGTAAATTGTTGAACATCAAGAATAATTTGGAATTTATCCTTTTCAACATTAATTGTGGAACCAGAATCAGCTTTAGTCAAGCTGGTGCCCCATGGACGATAATATGGCGTCGTTCGAGAGCCACTTGAAATTTGTGTATTTGCCAATGAACTCAACAAATCATTTTTCCTTAATGCAGTTCCAAAATGTTGATCAATCAATCTTGATGTACGGGGACGACGTAATGAATCGAAATCCCAATCGTATTCATCCCACCAGTCACGGAACATCATTGGAACTCTTGACATTGTTTTAAATTTCAAATTATTTCACTTGAAAAAAATTCTATTAAGTTCTGTAGTCTCTAAGACCTTTTGCACTCGACTATTCCCGTATTACTGAATAATTTTTCCAATTTTTCCCCTTTATTATATTTGTAATACATCCTACGAAGCAGCAAGTGGAAATGAAGAAAAACTTTTTGGCTCAGTGTCAAGATGAAATGTTCACAGAAAAAATTGTTTGCAGCATCTTGGATACAATCTTACATATGACTTCAAGATGAACATCATCAAGCATAAACACTTTGCACACTAAAAAAGTCAAAACGTGAGAAGATCGCACCTTTTTATAAATGATGATTAATCCACATGTATGTGTACGAATCCTATAAATAGACATTATGTATAATATTTGATGAGAAAAGAAAAAAAATATTCTAAAATTGAAAGAAAATTGAGAAATGGATGTAATGAAATATTAATCATCGTTTGAGAATGGAACGCAATACTCAGTTGCAAAATAAATATTTTTATAGAAAAATTCCAATGTTGAATACAAAAATGATTCAATCAAAAATGAAAAGTAAATCTAGACAACTAAGCATTATGGAAATTTCTGGAAATTTCGAAGGCGATCTTACATTTAAAGCAGTGGTTCAAGACAGCTCAAACCACTTATTTAAGAAAAAAAAATCATGTGATCGCATCACAGGTGAAGATTCTGATGTCAGAATTTAGTACCACGGTGCATAGATTAAGAAGCACTGCTTAAAAACATCGAATATTTATTGCTGGGTATTTGGATAGCCTAATCATAGTAGGAAGCTGTTGATGTAGCTAGCATTCTCTTTTCTATCGGTAATTGACAAGTGGTAACCAGCGTTAGAGTCAACTTCGATCGAAAAGAAGTCATGGATCACAAAATGTATGAACATCGCAGTAATTAAATATGTAAGATGCCTAGCCAAAGGAAGAACTCAAGATTTAAATCTAAATACCTCACAAAAAGATTCATTCATAACAATGTCTACTAAAGGTTAAGAATTTTTAAACCACCCGCCCCCCCCCCCCCCCCCCCCGCCCTATCGCTTCACTTTGTTACCGTATAAATACAAATACAAAGCTCTTATTCGAGAATTTTTAATTAACTTTTTCGATAATTCCTAGAAATCAAATGTTAATGTAATGTTTATAAAAAAATATGGTACAGTTCATAAATGATATATATCAGTGATGGCCAACCCATGTGCGGCGAGAAAAATTCATAAAATTCCAAGAACCATATGCCGTGTGCGGTTTTGGTCATGGCTTAACATCAAGGTGTGTCATTGCACAATAAAGGTTGGACACCACTGATGTACAACATTTAGTCTGGATTGGATCTGGAGTTTTGTGATAGTTCCCTTCTGTGCCAAAGGCATGTCTAATTTTCGAAGCTCTTTTTCCATTTCACCGTTCTAGTTACGAAGCTCGGTTCGTGTGCTGGGTGAAATTTTGAGGTCTTTGGCACAGAATCTGAATCTTTTGCTAGGTATACAAGGATATACTAGCATCTGGATGACTTCCTTACGGCATCTTGCGCACACGAATTGTGACTAGGTACATTGCAGGGTACATCAGGTCTTATGACGTACTCGTGTCTTTGCAATGTGCAGAGCTTGCAAGTGGTTCAGATCCCACTATAAACTGTAGGTCTAAAGAGTCTGGTACAATAGATTCTGTTCTAATTTGAATCGCAGTGCCTCCAGCTGAAAGGCTGGGCCCTTCACACATTATTATTATTATTTGTGACAGTTCATACAAATTTTGTCACATGGGGTGGGGGGGGGGGGGGGCTATAATTTCATTTTTGATAGACACAATTGTTTTTGAGCAGATTAATTGTTCTTCTATAAAAAGGTTAATATCCGGATTTTAAGCCTGTATATTTAATTGCTGAAAAAAATATGAAACAATTAAATAAAATTATTGTGTATCTTTTTTAACTTTTATATTCGTGCATGACTTAATTTTTGCTAGAAATATTTCCTAAATTAAATTAGATTTATAAAAGCAATTTTACTCAATTCCTGGTAGTGGCTAAATTGCCATAGTCTCCAAAAATGTAAATAAAAATTCAATTTACGACAAGAAGTTGACATTCTATCAAAACTTAAACAATCTCTTTTATAAAAATTGTCATCATCACAAAAACAAAATAATAGAATTTCCTACAGGCACACTTTACGAAACTCAAAAGTTTGTCATCAGTCGCTTAAGGAAATTAAAGTTTTCTTTTCTATAAAACCAAAATAATAACAGCCTGTAAAAATAACTTTGTTCGAAGTCAACAACTTGTTGAATCAGAAAAAAATTGAGAAGGAAAAGTCAACAAGAGAAAAGAGAACTTTGCGTGTAAATAATAAAATCCACGTGCTTTTGCTGATTCTCAATTTCTCTAAAGAGACTCTCTTGATCCTCTACGTCATCAATGTTTTCGAAGATCTCTTTTTTTTAAACATCAAAAAAATGAAAATTCCGCAAACTTATCAGTCGTTTTTCTCGCGCTGTTGAAGATAAATCGGATATTTTCCTTTCCCAGCAAAACTAATTTCGTTTTTACGTGAAAAATTAAACTTTTTCGTACGAGTCGTGCATCCATAAAGAAATTGAGAAAAATTGTTTTAATTTTATTTATTTATGTGACACTAAAGTTTTACTCCACATCCATCCAAGAACTTAATTAACTTTTTTTTAAAAAAAACGAGTTTCGAAGAAAATTATGATGGATAATTAAATGTTGGGTGATACGAGGTTAAAATATATGGCTAGTATCACATGCAACACTTTATGACAAAAGGAAAATAAAAATTGTGTAATATGCAGTAATATGAGAAAATTCCATTGGTTTACAGCCATGAATTTAAATATGAAAAAATAATTAGGTTTTATTTTCGTTCCCGAGAGATAAAAATATTGCAAAGGATGATGCTAATTATCTCTTAAGTGCCTTTGATTCAGGAGGCTTTTAATTATCGTTGTGGATTTTTTTCAATGGAAAAAAAAAATCTTGTACTTCCAATTGCTTGCACAACTAATTAATATTTTACAAATAATTATTTGAGCTGTTCATTTATAAGGTCCAGCATTTAGGGGATATGAGGTTCAAGGATTTTGTGAAAGTTCAAACAAAATGAGTGACTGAATCTCGTTGTTAAATGGATAGGCATAAATAGGCAAATCTTACAGTGTGAGAGTTAAACCTATGTGGCACAAAGGTTTGCCAACAGCCCTGACATTTTTATTCCGTTTTGTAAGGATGTAAGTTCGATTCCTAGCATAGACCGATCTCTCAATTATTATAAAGAGTATTGTCGACATGACAAGGATTCACACAATTTTCAAAGCATTAATTTATTTCTTCAGGATATCAAAAGTAAAGGATTCCTGTTTTTGAGTTTAGCTTTTATTTTTATTCGACATCCCGCTCAAATAATTGTTCATCGAAATGATTATTTTAAGACATAGTTGCAATCAGTCACTGACTGGTCAACGAGAACAGCCCACCTGTCACAGGTTGCCATCTGTTTTACAGGTCACCTGTTAACAGGCCACATTAACAGGTACCGGTCATCGCAACTCTGTTTTAAGGAAATAAAAAAATACTTTGTAATTATTTGCAATTTGTGAGTATTATTTATAATTCGCTGTAAACCTGTGGTTCTCGAACAATGTGCTATTATAGTTTTGAGTGAGTATCCAGAAAGGTTCTTAGGGGGTTTTATGGCCGATCAAAGCGAGGAAACCTACTATTTTAAGGAATTTTCTACTAAGATTTATCTTCAGTTCCCTTGAAAGTCCCTGGCAAAGAGTTAATACTCCGAGCACAACGAATAATTCACCAAAATCAATGTGCTAGAATTGAAAATGTTTTAAAACCTCTGCTCTAAACTGAAAACAGCAAAGCTTTAAGAAAAAGTGATGCACAATAAAGAAATGATTTTTAATTTGTACAGCAAGCTTGCATTTTCTAAGATGAGAAGCTTGATTCCACAAAACTGATCAGAATTAAAGCTATCCAAATAGTAAAAGATTGTTTTATATTAGAAAGAAATACAGAAGTGGTAAAGCTCTTTAAAGCAATACATCTGAGTATAAATGGATTAATGTATTATTGTTGTAGATTTTGTGGTAGCCAGATGCTATTTCTTTAATAATTCAGTGCTAAAAGATTGTTTGGAATAAATTATTTAAATTTAAATTCAATGCAATTGTTTTAAAGGGGATTTTAAACATTTGTTTTGGAATTTGTGTGCATTATTCATCAATCAAGGGTGTGGTACTAAAGAAATAATCAAAAATGATCAAAAAAATGTTCAAATATGATCAAAATTGATCAAAAATTAACAAAAATGATCAAAATTGATCAAAAAAATGATCAAAAATGATTAAAATGTAATTCTTCAGTTCCACACCCTTGTCATTAATTTATGGTTCTTCAACTCTAAATGTTCAGGATAGAGATTGAAACAGTCTTCAGCTAGGTTACATTAGTAGTCATCATGTGAAGGAGAGACCTTTTCCTAGATTTAAAACAAAAGAGCAACTCCAACCCCTCCTCAAAGTTCACGTTTCATACCAAAAACTCTAATCTGTATTAAAATCATTTAAAATGTGTTATTGGAGTCTTCAAGTGAAACAATCTCATTAATTGAAGATAAAAATGCAAACAACGGAATCCATTTTCCGAGCTTTAGATCAGAAACATTTGAACCATCTCAAAGTTCCTTCTGACAGAATGTATATAATGTGCTCCAAGATAATAACAAAAAGCACGAGATTTAAAAACAATTCTAAAGCGTGCTACTTTTATGTCTGCAGGTTGTATTAATTTGACATATTAAAATACGAAAACATGGAAACTTAAAGTCATAATCTTCCTATGTGCCTGTAGATTTTCTTGGAATAGATCTAATTTTCTTTTGGATGCTCTCAAGAGCTTTTCACTTACAATCTCGAATATGAGCGTAGCTATTGAGAAGAGGTGGTTGTAGGGGGTCTGAAAAATTAGAAAATGTGAAAGAAAAAATTGTGGCTATGACCCATCCACTCCTTACTTATCATTAATAGTTTCTTTCAATTTATAAAAATATTCAGAGACTAAATTTGAAGAAGGACAT